CCAGCTGTTGGGATTTCCCTACAGAGGCAATGGAGAGGTACATACTAGTCCCCCCAGTCCTTATGCCACTCTACTGGCCCTTGCTGGCAGTAAGGAAATACTAAGGGATATAAAGGTTCTTGGTGCTAAGATGAAGTCTCAATAAATAGAATGCCAGCTGAAAAGAGGACTTTGGTCAGGGGCATCTTTAGTTCAAAGCGCTCTCCACACTTCCATCACCACCAGAGCTGGAAGTTCTCTAACAAGTTGCAGAGAACTCTGGCCCAGGCATCCTGTTCACAAGTAAGAAGCTGTCATTGTTGAAAGTCAACATCTGATGTTGAACTGTCCTCTCAGTTCTGGGCTGGAGTCTTTGCTTTGGGGGAATGTTAGTTAATGATATTAAAAGTGCTCGTGCTCAACTATATACCATTACACAGAGAAGTCAAAACAACGTATTGTGTGTATGTATGTGGGACGGGGGTTGACATGTGGAGCTCAGCAGACTTGGTGCTCAGGTATGATTTCTTTCCTGAGTCATATGCTCAGAATCCGTGTCCAAGAGAAAGCAACCCTAGACTTCTGGTATGTAAGAAAAAGTCTACAGAGCACATATTTGGCCCGAGACACTATTCACTATCCTCAGAGTTAATATGGTACTTTGACTCTCTTGTCTTAAGTGCAATGGAATTTAAGGCAGCATTCTTGTTAGAAATAGTGTTTGGGACTCAGGTCTTTTGGCTTCTCTTCCTGATGCTATTACTTGCTGGAGCTATGTAGGAGCAAAGAGATTTGCCTATACACGGAGACATCCCACTAGAGAACACCCTGCTGCCTGGTGCCTTTCTGTTGTTGCCATAGCCCTGAGCCTCCTTGGAAGAAAGCCCAGAGCCTCCTTTCAGCCCAGAAGGTCTGCTCCTCTCAGGGCAAATCCCCCTTGGGGGGCCTCCAGGATTTCAGACTTTCTTCTGGTACATGAAGTCTACCTGAGGTTTATGAAATCATTTGGTCTGCAGCACAATGCTGTGCAATGGCCTTAAAGAATATTTTTTACATGAATTTTTTTTTTAGCAGAAAACATAAATAAATAACAGGAAGGCACAGCATAGTCATTCTTTGGGAGAAACCAAGTGGATCTCATTAATCACGGAGAACAGGATTCTCTGTTGAACCCAGGCACAGAATTAACTTCTGGGTCACAGCTTCTACTTTCAGACAGAACTGTATTCTCTTCAAGTTGGCAGTCAAAAAAATATTTTTTAAGACCTAGAAAAGGACCGAGTTTCAATCTCCCTAAAACTGTTCATAGTCTTCTCTTGAAAAGTACTGTCTACTTCACAGAGAGTCACAGAGATTACGTGGCATGAGCAAATGTGGCAGGGCTTCATATCCACGGTGTCCCCTAGCTTCTGCTATTCTCCCAAAAGGAAACAGGTTTTTTTGATGGGTAAGCTTCTGGTATTTATTTACATTTCTTAGAATGAAAACAAAAATCCCATATGACCCAGAAATTCCTATAGGAACATATGCTCAAAAAGACTACTTCAATGATGTTCATTGTAGTATTGTTTATAACAGTAAAAAACAAAGCAAACAACAAAAGAAAACTAGATAGAACCGGAATGCCCATGAGTGGGGAAAGCAATGCATAAACTGTAGCGTATCAACACTGTTCAGGATGCTATGCACTGGCTGAAATGGGTGGAACAGACGTGATGGGATGTACTGAATGATCTGCAAGATGCTGTCATATGAAAAGAAGCAACTTGCCAACAAAGAGAAGAAACACTCTGACACAACTATGTAAAACAAAATGAACTCCAGTTAAACCAAATCACACACTTTGACATGAGTGTATGTGCTTCTAAAGGTATAAGAGGTGGCCTCAAAGTATCTTTGTGGTCACTTCTGGGTAAGAGATGAAGGTTAGTAACAATGAAATGAACTTTGGCCTTTTCTATATTATTGCACTTTGTTTTTTTTTCTGTCTGTTTTGAGACAGGGTCTCCCTGTAACCCCAGCTGGCTTGCAACTCGCTATGTAGACCAAGCTGGCCTCGAACTCACAAGAGATCTGCCTGCCTCTGTCTCCTGAGTGCTGGCATTAAAGGCATGTGCCACCATGTCGGGCCTTAGTTTTGAAAGTGTAGTTACATATAACTTGTGAACCAAGGAAGTAAGGAAGAAAACAAGCCTGAAAAGTTAACAATCTTGTTCAATATTGATAACCAATTTGGCAGTACGTTTCCAAGGAAAGGTGTTTTCCCACCCAACACCCAGTCCTCCTTTTAGGACCTCTGTTTCCAGCCCTTCAAACAATGCTTCTCTGTTCTTGGTTCCAATGCCTATGAGAATTTATGTTAGATTATCATTAACTATGATAATGATAGTTTCTGGTTCTTTAAGGTCATGACAGAAAATCCAGAGAGCAAGGACTTTACTCAGAAGAGAGATGTTTGTGAGTCTTCTGTCCATAGGACTTGGAGCAGAAAAAGCTGCTGGTGACCCCAAGCTCTAAGACTTACTACTGTTCCACATCTTAATAACTAGGGTTCTGTTCTTTGGAGATTTCCCAAATTTTGTATTGTTCCAGTTACGTTTGATGTCAAACAGAATGCCTCCAAGGGGTTAGTGCAAACACATTCTGGCTTTGGCCTATGATCAGATGACTCCTAAGGCTACGGGTTTCTGATTGCAGTGGACCTCAACACATATTCCTGTATACCAGACCTATGTGATGCTTAAATAAACCCTCTGTTATTTCTAGCTTCTAACTTATTTGTATAGGGCAGGTCTCCCCCCCCCCGCCCCCCTGCTGCTGATTGAGAGATCATCAGCTGATAGTCCCCTCTCTCCTCCTTTTTCTCTTGCTAGATTTGTTTTGTGTTTTCTTTGGGCCATCACTGAAGTGGATGAAAGGCAAATTACAGCTGTGAGAGCCCCAGTGCTCTGCACAATTCAAGAGAAAAAAACACGCCCCACACCTAAGGATCCACAGTTTGTCTCAGATGTGCAGCCACAATGCAGACCAATCAAAACTTCAAAATGAAACCCTTTTCATCACAGATTACAAAAAGGCCACAATGTTTGTGCAAAACAACTTCACAGTCAGAGAAGAGTAGTGAGGAAAACAAACTCCATGCCCGCCACATTGGCTTGGCTGGCCTTTGGTTATCTGGACTTGGAGTGCAGTGTTGAAGCAAGAATGCACATTTAAGCCATCGTGAAGGCCAGGTAGGAACAAAAATAGGCCACACTGGGCTCTGACATCTGGCATTTGTGATTCATGGAAGCACAATTTCTGTAACAGTCGCACTTGGGCTAAGTTTGAAATACACCCAGGAATGCTCACTGCTGAAGGCACTGTCTCCAACACGTATGCTTGAAGTCCTAAAGAGTCTTTGCCCTCTTGAGGAGAAGGCGTACCCCTAAAATAAGGTTCATTTCCAGATTCAAGGTGGAATACTTCTCAAAAAGTGTCTTCAAAAGGGTTAGTAGTGTCAATAAAACAAAAGCTATGACTAATTTTTATTTATTTTTGTCTTTTTGAGACAGGGTCTCCTTGTAGCCCCAGCTGGCCTATAACTTACTATGTAGACCAGGCTGGTCTCACTCTCACAGAGATCCAACCTACCTGCCTCTGCTTCTCGAGTGCTGGGATTAAAGGCGTGTGCCACCATGCCTGGCAGTTGTGGTTAATTTAATTCAACATGGCAAATGTGGTTCTAGGTCAACAAAGGCAAATGTGGAGTGAGTCTGGAACTTTGCTTGAAACCAACACTTCTGAGATATTCTCATTTTAATGGCAACAAATGGTTTTAAGGCAAGCCAAACATTACTTAGACAAAATGGGTTATTGTGTCTGGCACGGGAAGACAATGCTCTAATCATGGACATTCTACCCTATGCTCCTGCCGAGGACAGATAATGACAGCCACCCTGCGCCATCTGTGCTAGCACTTTCCTATGAGATCTGAAAAGCCAGGCTCCTTTCAGAAGCATTTGAACAGGTTTTAAATTTGCATTGCATCCTGGCTCTAGGTTTGTATAAGACCTAGAAACAGGGTCCTCTGGACCTGTCTCTCTTTGCAGGGCCATTCAGAATGGTTGCTGGACCTCTTAGAAAGGCCTCTGGGGTGACAGAATACATAAGGGGTAGCATAAATCCTCCTGTGACCAATTCATGACTCCTGTCAGAAAGCCTGATATCCCTAGGAAATGACCTTTCCTATGTTGTTTTTTCTTTCTGAATCCCCTTCTGATTAAAACATTTACTACAACTACATCATTAACTATTCTCAGAGACAGATAAAAGAAAAACACTTGTTAAACAAGATCAGGCTTTTGAGTAGGTATCCTACTTAGGCTTTTGAGTAGGACAGTTTTACATAGTGCCCCTTTTATAAGACGTACCACTCAGACATTTCCAGCTTCACAATGGCCCTCCTTATCTTCATTATCTGTCCAAAAATGAGATCTAGGCCTATCTCTGAGCCCTGAACATGCTATAAGTTCCTGTTGCCCTGGCTCCTGGGAAATCACTCATAAATTGGAGATGAATGTCTCCCAGGAAGTAATAATTTGGTAGGTGAGGAGCAAAAGGTTGCTGCTGCTTCTCCAAAGGAAGGGACCTGCCTCTGTGGAGCTGTGTGTGATCTAGTGGAGTCTGCCCACTCCCCCTGGGGCCCTTTGAAAGAAGATTCCAATCTCCAGGGATTTGCCATCAAGAGAAATTTCGTGGAATCATATTTAGCAATTTAGCACTTAGCAACTTTCACAAAATCCCACACCAATCATAAAAGTTGGCTCAGCTGCACAAATTCGATAAAATTCCTAACAAACAGTAATGAAAATAAAAAGAAGGAAACGCTGACATTCGGCCTTAAGGAGAAAACCCACCTACCTCCCACACAAATGCCCTGTAGCTCACAAGGTGCTGTGTAAACTTTGGAGACATCAGTTTGTTCAAAGCTTACACTTCAACTTTGTTCTCAGAGGCAAAGGGTGGGGGGAAAAAAACCAGATGTTTATATAAAAATATCTTCATTTTATTACATTCCACACAATACATTTCCAAGTAGTTTCCAACATCCACAAGTTATTTTGACACACAGGCAACTGAGCAATGCAAGGGATGTCACAGTTATAGGGAGAGGGGATACAAACAGGAAGTAAAAAGCTTTAGGTTTTCTTGTTCTGTTGTTGTTCTTTGGTAATTTTTGACTTTTTAGGTGTTTGCTTGTCTGCTAGTTTTATTTTAAAGACAGCATCTTTTAAAAGATGGAGTATCAACCTCAAAAACATGACTGGATTTCCTATTCTGGTTTTAATCCAGAAAATGTGGGACAAGGGAAAAGATGATTTCACTTTATTTTCAGCATCCTGTTTTGTCAATGGCAATGCTACATATTTTGTTTCTTTTCTTTCTTTTTTTTTCCTTTGCCAGCAATTAGATGGTGGCAGCTGCTAATGTACTATCAAAGACAGGATTCTTTATCCAGAGATGAGGCCTTCCCTCTGGGGTGTTGTCAGGAGACTTCTAATAAAGGCAAATGCTTTACTAGTCCCGTCTAGTCTTTCACCTTATTCATCCACTCATTCACATTTTAATAGTTGGTATCACTGTTTTGTCTTCTGAGAAGCAACTCTAAACACGTGCATGCATGCATTCATCTATCTGTTCAACCCATTTTTCTTAGAAGAGAGTGGCTCTTTTCTCCTTCCAAGGGATAGAGAGTTTTGCTTTGTAAAGCTGCAAGGCCTGGCATTTTCCAGAAGAGCTGCCCTTTTAGATAATACTATGAAAGTTGCTGGGGTAGGGGAGCAGGAGAGAGAGGGCAGGAGAACTCTAGCTGAATTGTATCTTGGAATTTACTATGTCATCAATGACATGAACATGAAAATGCTGCTGCATGGGGCATAGGATAAGCACAGAGTAAGTTACCCAAGTGGCTACCATCTTCTATTAGAGAAGAGGAATTGTCAAGGTGATACAGTAACTTAGCCACTTGCTATTGCTATACTGGCTGAATTTTCTAGGTGTAGTTTCCTGATACCTCCACAGGGTACCTGCAGGAATGCCAATCATTTGAAGGGAATGTCTGGCTCTAAATGCTCAGCTGGAGGTGAACAACCATGATAAAAAGCCCTTGGTGACTGGCATGGTTGTAACTGCATTCACAACTACTGTCACATCCCACTAAAATTATCTTCAGCTGGGGTAGGATACCTCTTGAAATCTCAGGGAAGCCACATGCTAGCCTTTCATCTTTTCTTTCTTTTTATTGGGGCAGAGCTGCTGTGATTGAGACAGAGTAGCTCTTTGAAATAGTGTCAGAGTGGGAGAGCACTGTCCTTTCAGGAGGACGAAACGAACCAGATGCACAGGCTAAGAGTGTGCTGGGGAAATCTTCTGAATGCCCTGGAAGAATGCTAAAATGCTGTCTCCCAAGCAACCCGTGCAAAAATTAGGATTTTCTTTTCAGAAGGTATCTGGAGATGTTATCTGACCAGGCAACCATCTTTGGAGAGAATTTTATACTGCTGTAGAGGATTCCTAGCAGGAAAGTAGAAAACAAACACCCCCAAGACTATAAGCCTCATACACTGGAAATCTTAAAATATATACTTTCTATCAATGAAATGGACTTTGCTATTTAATGCAGTCTTTGCACAGTATCACTAGGCAACTACTCTCTGACATCCTTCCCTCTTCATTACTTCGGACAATGGACAATCGGAAGGACAAACTGGAGAACGAATTGGAAGCAATGGCTGTATCTTTAGCCTTGCACCTTCTCTCTGCCTATGTATTAGCATCTGCAAATGCCAGGCCAGCCCATGAGGATGAATTTGCCAGATGCCGTGAATGCTTTAAGGGGTAGCACATTGGTACATTTCTACAAATGATTATTTTCTATTTTCTCATAGTAGTTAAATAAGTCAGGTGAACAGCCTTATATTTTAGCAGTATAGATTTAGGCACACATTAACACCATGAAAGGAAAGCAAATGATCCCCTTTCCCCCATACTTGACAAATGCTATTACAATGACCAAAAGAATACCAAAGAATACCTTCTTCATCCTCATCTAACATTGGGCCCAATGGCTCCCCAAGGTGAGGAGACTTTGAAAAGATAACATTTGGGTCCTACCAGCTTCTCCCTTCTGTCTTCACCCTCCTGCTCTCAATTTAAACAGACTAACTCACTTCCTATATCATCCCAGATGACTTATTCTTTATGACTTATTCCATGATTGGACTTGACCCATCAGAGCTAAACATTCATTATGAGCTTTTTCTCTTTCTTTTTTTTCTTTTTCTTTCTTTTCTTTTTTTTTTTTAAGGCAACATGAGCCACATCTGCTTCAGGGCTGGAAGTAGAGATGATTCCATGCACCCATGGCTGTTAGCTAGTGACTTCCATGACACCAGGAGACATGACAAGGGTGTCATGTCTGAGTGCACTTGGGGGAACCATCCTCTTGGGTCTGGTGGGTTGGGGGTGGGGAAGAGGATGGGTGGGGCCACAATACATTCCATGTGGCCTGTTTTTCTAGGTACCTGGAGATGACAGTGGCAGCCAACAAAAACCCAGCCAGAGCTAGATAAGGCAACAAAAAGCTTCAATCTCTTCTCCAAGTAAATAAAACATGTACAGTATATTATTTTCTTGTAAAATGTACCCCAGGAGAAGTAACACAAGAGTGAAGGGGCCCCTCTCTACACACACCCATACACTCCTCCCTCCACAGTGAGCCAGTCTCTCCTTCACACACACACTACACACACACACACACACGCACGCACGCACGCACACACTGCTCTTCACAGGAAGCATATACTATGTACATACACATAGAGCCAGGCTCCCCTCAAGACACCTGGCAGCCTGCCCACCGAGAGGAGGGGTGGGATAAGGCAAGGGGAGAAAACAAGAGAACCAGTCTCTGGAACAAAACCAGCTGAGCCTTGAGTTGTGAAGTGCTTAGGGGCGGATCTCTTCTGGTATTCCAAGATGCAGCATTAGAGTTGGGTTTTGTTATTTGGAATAATGAAAAAGAAGAAGAGGAGGAGGACGAGAAAAAGGACGATGAGGAGGAAGAAAGGAAGAAAGAAAGACAAGAAAATGAAAAAATAAAAAAGATTAAAAACAAAACAAAGAAAAACAGGAACCCAAGGACCACAGGGAATTGTTGGGATGAATAAGCGTGCTCAGAGCTGGGGACCCTGGAGAGGGGTGTCTGAGGGTTCACACAGAGACTAGGCGAGGAGAAAAAAGTGCAAAATCGAGGCAATGTTTGCAGTCTTTCTTGTTTGTTTGGGCGCTGTTCTTGCTTCGGCCCTCAGCAGTGCGAGCCGCGGTCTTGCTCTAGCTTAATGGTTAGGGTGGGCTCCACCGCCAGAGGGGCCCCGTTGGTGTAGTGGGAGGTTTTGTAGGTGATGGAGTGATCAGTCTTCTTGGCCGCATAGCGGAACCGGTGGTAGTGGAGCACCAGGGCCAGCGCGACGGAGACCAGCACCAGCACGGCGCCTCCGGCGGCCATAACGTAATACCAGTAGGCTGGGATGGGCTGCACGGGCACCGTGTCCACTGTGGGCTCGGTCCCTGGCGGGAGGGTGCCCCCTGGGGGAGAGACACAGAAGAGTGTTGCTAGACTGAGAGCATGCGGACTCATCTAAAAACAAAAACAAAAGCAAAAACAAAAACAAAAACAAAAAAACAATAAAAGAAAGAAAGAAAGAGAACACACATGCTTTGGGGGCACACAACAAGGGGCCAGGGAGGAGGGTGGTGCTCAGCCTTCGTGTATGCCAAGCACTTTATAATGCTATAATCCCCCACTGGTCCCTTTATGAGGCAGGCACCTCATACCCATTCTACAGATGAGGAAAACAGGCTTAGAGAGGTTCAATCAACAGTGGTTATTCAGCTAATTCATAATAAGCATGGGATTCAATCAAGAGCTCTATCCTATCAAAGCTTCCTTTCCTAGTTAACCACAATCACTTTATGACATAGAGAAGCATTATTCTCTCTCTCTCTCTCTCTTCTCTCTCTCTCTCACACACATGTGTACACACAGGTACACGTGTACACACACACACACACACACACACACACACACACACACAGAGAGGGGTGCCGGAGTGACTGGTGGAGTTACATTCCCTAATTTACCCTGATGACTCCATCTAGTTTGATAGTAGCATTACATCTCTCAGTTCTTATCTCTTTAGGAAGTTCTGAGTTCATGACACACACACACACACACACACACACACACACACACACACAGAAAGTGGTGCTGCAGTGACTGCTGGGATTCAGTTAGGTGAATTCTCCGAGTGGGTGGAAATGCTGTGTTTGGTGTGGCTGGCCAGAGTTTTCAAGCCGTGTATTAATTAGGCTGGCTAGACTTGAAGGTAAATTCCACTTTGATTTGCCAAGGCTTCTGTGCCCATTTTGAAATCAGCCTGGTCTTGTCTAAACAGGTCAATGACTAACCCATCTTCATTTGTTTTTAACTGGATGGTGGATTTTAAAAGTAGATTGGATGGGACGTCGTAAGGAAAAAATATGGGCACCAAGCAATGTATGTGAGAGCAAGAGACTGAGTGAGTGAGGGCAAAGGGAAGATCATTCTTAATCACAGAAAAGAGTAGGGAGAAGAAGCCAGCCAAGGATTTAGAAGGCAGGCACGTTCACTGGCCGGCCTCTGGTTACCATGGAGATGCTGTAGTAGATTTAAGCTCGGGGTAACTCTGGGGAAAGACTGGCTTGAGTCCCACTGGATGCAAAACAGTGCTACAACTTGATTCTCCCAAAGATTTACATCAGATGAAAATCTGGCCCAGAAAGGGACTAGGCGCTTTTGAGCTTGCCAAAACCAGACATGATCTTTACTCCTGAAAAATGATGTATACTTAACCTGAGAAAAACGCTTCCCAAGCTGCCTGCATCAGGTATTGTGCCTTTTACTCAGTGGTATGCTGAGAGGCGGGACTAATGCCCCTTAGCAGCACTGGTCCTTCTCTGTGGGCAAACCTCTGCTCACTACTTGGGCAGAGTCTGTCTATATTTGACGCCCCCCATGATACTCAGAACTTCTCAAATAGAGGAAGTCAGCCTCATCTAGTTCCTACCTAAGGTTATGTGCAAAGAAGCTGCACCGGAAATGCCTGGTGAGTGCAATGATGAACTAAATTCATATTCTGAATTCTCAGTCAGTGTTTTCCAGTTTTGGTATCATGAACCCCAGAATGCTTCAATTCCACTTGGAAGATAGCTGCAAGGCATGTCAGACCTTCTAATGTTTTCCCAGAAGTAATAGAAAAATGAGAGAATTTTCCCTGGAAAATCTTTTGAAGCCTTTTCAACTTGCTAGCTTTGAATTGTTGCTTACTTCATTTTGGGGATCCCCTTCTATTAAGGGTGCAGGTTCATTGGTACCTTATAGGCCACCAGAAGTCCTATAATATTGGAAGGGCTTTGATGAGGATGGGCTGCTCAGCACACAGCTTGATAGCTCCTTGGGGTGGGAAGGACCCCAGCATCCCAGCACCCCAAAGGCTGCTTCTACAACCTCATCTTCTCTTACATCATCACATACACTTTTTTTTCACAAACTATTTCTATTCTTTTGTTTGTTACTTTGAGGCAAGGTCTCGCTCTGTAGCCAAGGCTGTCCTGTAACTTACCATGTAGCCCAGGCTAGCTTCAAACAATCCTCCTGCCTCAGCCTTCCAAGTGTTGGGATTAAAGATGTGAGCGATCACACCTAGTTACTATTTCTACTTTTTAATAACTATTACTATTACTGAGAAAGGACCCCTTGTCTCCTTTTTTACTGTCTTTTATTGGTTGTCAAGTTGGCAATTTTGCATAGAAGAAGAGAGAAAAAGTGCTGAAAATGGTTCCTTGAAGTGGCTAGCTGCGAGTTATAGTGTGCTGGTGACAACTCCTGATTTAAGTCATTAAGAATATCTGCAACCATCCTGCTACTGTATTTTTATGTGAGCTCATAGGACATCTGGGGAACCACTAAGTGCATAGATAGGCCCAGAGTTCCTCAGCGTCATCCTTCTTTTCCTGTAAAGCTATCCTCAGGTGTGTCTCTGATTCTAATTGTGTGTGTTATAAGGGCCATCTTCTAATGAGGTTGCAGTTTGTCCATCAGAGAAAAGGTAAATTCACAGTGATTAGGCCCCTTCTGAAGTGCCTGAACACAAAGCAGGAGCATGGTCTCAGCCACCTGCATTCCCTCTGTCACCACGTGGCCTCATTATCAAGGTTTACTTTCCTCAGCACAGATGTTGGATGCCAACATTCACTATACCACCCACAGTTCAAAGTGTTAGGACTGGGGAGGGAGAAACCTTAATGATACTCTGAAAGTATTTCTGACGATAAAGACAAACTTTGGGGGCACAGTGGGGAGACTTCCTTTCTGCTGGAGAGAGGTTAAATCATAATATGTGGATTAGTATTCAGAATCAGGTATGGGAGCCATCATCTTGGAAGACAGATTCCACTGTACGCTAAAAACCATCTCCCCTTTCCCACCAAAGCTCCCCTCCCCAAAATCATCAACATGTAGAATATGTGATAATTTTGAGTGATAAAAGCTATTTGGGGACATTGCTTTGACCTCTTAAATATTTTCCCTGGATGTGTCTTTGAAAAAATGAGGACACATGCTACATGAATTTTTACTTTTAATGTTAAGGGAGTTAGAAAAAAGATGAAATAACTAACAGTGTCTTCCTCATGACCTGATGAGCAAATTAGGGCCCACAAATTTTTCAGCATAGTCTCCAGGTAAACAGACTTTATGATCAAAGGCAGCAGATTGAGCTCACTTAGAATCTGGCTCTGTCATGGTCTTAAGGGGCTATAGGCTTATGAGACTGCTTTGCCAGTCATAGAAAAGAAAGGTGAGAAATCCATCAGGGTTAAATCTGCACCCCAAATATCTTCCCAATGACAGTGACAACCCAATAAATGACAGCTGGATGGACAGATGGATGGCAGATGGCTAAAGGAATATATTTTGAACCAGTGTCCAGACTTCCTGGAAAATGCTGATGACCTGTTGGACTTCACAGAACAATTATTCTCAGAAGATTCTAGAAATATGTCTCACCTGTACAGTGCCTCTATGGGAAGGTAGAAAAAGGTGTCTACTTGGGCAGGTGCCACCTGCTTCAGGTGCCTGGGATGATGTGCAGCAGGATCAGCCTCACCTGCCTTCTTTTCCCTACAGGGTGATTGGGACATTGCAATACAAAGAAAGGATCCTGGGCTAACTACACCAACCTGGGGGAAAATGTTGGTGAGACTTCAACCTTGCTGAGAACTGATGTGTTTCCCTTCCATTGTTCTTTTACCATTTACTTGCCTATCCTTTTTCTTTATGGTTGGAAAATGCTCTCAATTCCTCAACCATTTTTCATTAATTTCCAACTCCCCAATTCTCCACAAAGTTTTCTCATTGTTTGAGATAATGAGAAACAGATATTTAAATAATAACTCCAAGTGTATTTGCAAGGCTGAACAGACTCCCATCTGCAGAAGTTATGAGCTCCCTAGAGAAGAGAAATGTGAATGCAAAGAATTTGGATTTTGAGAAACAAATTCTGAGAAGTCACACATGGGGGAAAATGAAAAGAAATGACCTATTAGGCAGTGGGTCTTGAATTCCTGTTTTCAGATAGCATCACTAATTTAATAAGTAATTAGGAAATATGGCTGTAAGTAGAGTGATAATAGTGGTCATCAGTGTGTTAGCCATTGGTCTATAGACTGCCCATGAATCATCTTCTTTGTTTCCCATGACTCTTAAGTGGGGAACATGAGGACTGAGAGGATCAGAAGTTCCATTCTGGTTTCACTTGGAAGAAAACTAAGGAAGAGGGCAGAGTAGCATATAAAGAAACCCAGAGATAGCTCAGAGCTCTCAGAATTGCATACTGCTGCTTGGTGGCCAGGTCAGGCCTGAAACCAGGCACAGTGAATCCTCGGGTAACTGAAGCCCATGTTTTCACAAAAAAGTTTTATTTGAACACAGCTACCCTCATTTGTTTGCATACCACTTGGGGTTGCCTTTGTGCTACAGCGGCAGGGTGGAGTGCTTGCCAAAAAGATTGTGTGTCCTTTGAAGCCTGAAATATTTACTATCTGGTTTTTCATAGCACAAGTTTGCAGATCTTGCTCTAACCAAGTAAAGCATGCACAGGAAGCTGACCTCTCCTTTTCTGCCTCCTACTTTTCTGAGCCTGTCTGAGGATTGGCAATGGCTCAGTCTTGTCTTTTTTTTTTTTTAATTATTTATTTATTCATTTTTATTTTATGTACATGAGTGTTTTGCCTGTGTGTATGTAAGTGCATTCTTTCCATCTGTCATATGTAAGTGCATCTGGGTATGCAGTAACTCTGGAGGCCAGAGATGGCATTGGATTCCCTAGAAATGGACTTATTGCTGTTCGCCGCCACATGGGTGCTGGGAACCAAACCTAGGTCCTCTGCAAGAACAGCCGGTGCTCTTAACCACTGTGTTTTGTTTGAACACAACTACCCTCATTTCTTTGCATACCACTTGTAGTTGCCTTGATGCCATTTCTCCAGGCCCAGGCTCAATCTCATCTTGAATAAAGAAAGCATCCCTTACAGCCGCCTTCATGAAATGTCACTGGGACCTGGAAGAGCCACTTAGGTTCCCAAAAGGAATGTTCTAGAAGACACTAAGGGTCCGTTTTCTCTCTCAGAAGAAAGGCTCTTTGCACCTAAAAGCTGCTTTATGCTGGTCTGTGTGAGGAGCCCTCTCTGTACCTGTTGAAAATGAAGCGCTGCTGAAGGGAATTTCAGATGAAAGGTTTATTTAATCTGTGAGATTAAGCAAACAACAGAAAAGGGCTGGCTCCACTAGAAACGTTTATAGAAGATAGAAGAAGAATGCAGCTGGGCTTCCTGAGTTGTTTGGAAAAGAAAGTTGAAGTACAAAGCATCCCTGAGAAATGATTCTTTCCATTTGTCCTATGTGCTGTGTGCAGAGGTAAAGTCATCAGAAGTTTTCAGTAAGCTGGTGGAAAACCTTGGTGGGGGTCCCCATTCTGTCCCCCTCCCTATGTCTAAAATGCCTCTAAATTCAGCTCCCTATCTGGCTGAAGTCTCAGACACTTCTAAGTTGTAGTATTTATGCTACCTTTTAAACTAAGGATTGTCACTCTGTATTCTTGGAGAGATGAAGTCAGTGAGACATCTTTTCTTCTACCCTTACACAAACTGACCCAGCAGCTGTTTAGATGAACTTGTGGGGAGGGGATGTGTCTGGGTTCTGTGATAGGAGATGCTGACTGTACAAGCAAACTTCATAAACAGTGCCTCGGTGTCCCCTGGGCAAAGGAGGCAGTCAAGCAGCTATGCGGTTGGTTCACACATCTCTCTCTGCTCTGTAACACCTAGCCTCGATCTGGCAGCTGGTAGAGAAATGGGGGGAGGCGATTCTCACACCACAGCTGCCTAACTGGAGGCATGGCAGGGTTTAGGAGCACTTCTCTGTCTTTTATCTGAGGATTACATTCGAGAACTCTGTTTAACCCTCTGGGTGTCTCAGAGGCACTCCTAGTGCTGTAGAATACAGGGAACCCTAGGAGAAAGGCACTCTGAAGCTCAACCCAGCCCTCCCTGCCCAGGGATGGGGTGTTGTACTGGCAGACAAAGCCTCTGGGAGGCAAGCCACGGGAGTGAGGGTGGGGATGGAAAAAGAGATGTTGGTAGGGAATGGCAGATTGGCCTGCAGGACCCACATAAATAGAGCTCAAAACGTGAGGCATGGAGTCAGGCTCCAGTCAGCACTGGCAGCACCTTATGTGGGTCTCCCTTAAGATGGTTCCCATCTATGTGCATGAAACAGCCTTTAAGGCTCATTTTCTCCTGGTTGTACCTGGATAGAAATTGTGAGGGATAGGAGGAAGGCATTCAGTGGAACCCAAAAAGATGATGCATAGCGCCCTTCGGATGGTCTGAGACAGACAAAACCATCAGAGCCATCAGGACATATGCATTCTCCATTCAGCAGTCCTTAGTATGAGATGGCAGTTCAGAATCCTGCACTCCAAGACCATCTTCCACAGTGCTTCCTTGCTTGGATCTCCTAGGATGTCTAGCAGGTCCCTCTGCATCCAAAATCTGCAGCCTCCAGCAGGAGCAAAATCTCTTGTCTCTACCCTGAGCTGCTAAAAAGAACCAGCTGATCACCAGCCACAGGACTCTGATTATGGGCGTTATATGTTTTTACTGATTTCTTTATTATTCTTTTTATCTTTTATCAAAAAAAGAAAGTATTGGTAAGAGGAAACAATCCATCACCTTAATTATACCACTTTTCAGTCTCCCCCCTTTTATACACAATTTTTCATTTGTTAAAGCTCAAATCCTAGAAAAAGATGCATGATGACACCGTTTATAGCCACTGCTTATGAAAAAGAAAGAAAGAAACGCACACCCAGTCTACATTGTTTAAAATGTGACTCAGACAACAAAAGATCTTTTTAAGAATTACACAGTTTAGTCATTCTCTCTCTGCCTCCTCTTTCTTTACACAGGCCTCTGCTTCTCTGTGGCTTCTCTCCAATACCAGCTCACACTCAGGCACACAATCTACACATATGTAGGAAACAGAAAGTACCAGGCAATAAGAAGAAAAGGAACAAGTTGCATGGCAGGAAATCATTGAGAGGCAGGAAATGAAAGACACTTCAAAACATGAAAGATCAAGAAGCCCTAATCAGTCCAGGTCCAAAGGACACTTTTCTTGCATTTCCCTGAAGACTCACTGAGTACACATTGATCTCTCCTAATGAATGGGATTACTGCTGTTGCATGCCTAATTTATAATGGAAAAGAAAAACAACCCTAATTCGAAAAACACACCGGAAAATGCAAATGACGATTGTTAATGGTGTTTCTACGTCAGCTTTCCATACCTTGCCTGCCCAAATCTGGCTTCTCTCTGTTTTTGTCTTTTCAGTGAAAAGACTGATTTTATGCCTTGACATAGAGTGCTTCTGCTATTCTGTCCAGGAAAGGAATAGAATGCATGTCACTAGATTCCATGGGGCACAGGGCCCCTTTTCTTCTCCCAAATGGAGAAGTTGACTTGAGTAAAGATAGAGGCATGGTGCAGTCAACCAGCTTTCAACTTGAGAGAAGAGCCACCCCCTGGCCCTAGGTTCACTTGGCTACCAACTGGGAGCTCAACAGGACACATGTCAATGTGATTGAAACTATCCCTTCTTCAGTTCCCGCTCTGGTCTTTTCTATGTTCTTTGGCCAAGTCTCTGCTCCCCGATACTTGGTTTCTTCCTTTCAGAGATTCTCATATTACAGGACAATATCCACAAATCATTCCTTGCAGTCCGCACCCTGTCTGTATAGCCCCAAAGCACTGAGAACAAACTGGGAAGTCTTACCTTCAAGTCACTAAGCCCTATGTTTATTTTGCCTAAATGTGCACTTGCCACTCAGATGAGATTTTATTTACATCTGTTTTCATACGTGAACACGACTGGGCCTTGCAGCCCCCTGGTGTGCATAGCTTCAAGGAAAGCACATGTGCTTGGTTTATTTATTCTCTTACAGAAGCCAAGCCCTCAGCCACTGTACTTGTCAGTCACGACCTGACAGGGTGCTTGTGCACAGCATTTTCAGAGGTTGCTGGCAAGCCTTGAACCAGCCTTTTTGAGAGAGCTGTGAGACTCAACAACCCACAGAGAGTCAGAAGCAGGTTTAACCTTCCCAGCATAAGCATAACCTTGGTCCTGAAGGTTAGAGCCCAACTGTGAGGCAAGCTGTTCAGTTTGGACCCTAGCTTTCCTTCCAATAGTTTGGATTTGTGATCATAAAATTTACACCCAGAGAGCAGCAACACGTGAATGTGGATACTCAATACTTTCAAACGTAGGGAGTAGCATGGAGTGGGGAGAGGGCAGAAAGGGTAAGAAAGCAAGCAAGCATATCCCCCCACCCCTGTTCTATGTTTCCCCTGTCATCCATTGTCTTAGAGCTGTGGGGAATGAGCGGTAAATTAGGTGAGATGATTTGGTGTCTGGTCTAGGTGTCAAGCCAAGAACTCATCTCTTTTTAGTCAGGAGCTGGAAAGATTAATGAGAGCAGAGATAACAAGTGTAGACGTGGACATAAAGTAGCTGAGCTTATCTCTAAAATGCTGTCCTCTAGAGGGTTAAGCCCAGCCAGCACAAACAGGGTACAGCAGCTGACACTGTCATCAGGTAGGTGAGGGTCTGTGTCTGTGAACATGCTTCCACACTCCGCTAACTTCAGGGGGCATTTACAACAACCCCTGAACATCCACCATTAGACATCTGGGTAGACTAGGCAGCATCAACAGTTGGGGGTTGACAGCAGAGAGGCAATGAAAGCCTACTGCATTAGGAAAGTCAAAAACAATCATTGCTCAAGGCTGGAAGCCCTCTCTTCATTTCCGGGATGAGACGAGCACCCCAATTTCTCCCTTCTTTGCTTTGTTCTCTGTTTGCTTTCTTAGGGAGAAAATGTCCTTTTCTGTTTCCAGCCTTGAATTGCCAGTGTGCTAACTCTGGTCAGCGAATGTACCTCCTGACTCCGGTACCAAACACCAGTTTCTGAATCCAGCAACTTTCCTTCCTTTATGATGAGGTTTTTCCCTAACATCTCTTCTCACAAGACTGCTTCCACTGCACCTCACTGAGGGTTAATTGAGACCACTGCCTTGGTACCCTGGAGCTGGAAAGAAACCATCTTCAGCCTAAAATGAATCATTGCCACCTTGCTTCACTTTTAATTTACTACAGCTTTTTTTTTTTTTTTTTTTTTTTTTTTTTTTTTTTTGGTTCGGTCTTCCCACAGCCTCTCTTTTCTCACCATTTCTGAATTTCCAGCCTCATTGCTCCCCGTTGGACAATGCAAGGCTGAAAGGTTTATCTGTAACCTATTTGTCTCTATTATAGATTTCTAAACTTTAATTAAACCAGAGACAGCGAGGATCTCAATCCCAGCATCTACAGGTGTCGCTGGTGCCATCTAGTGGTAGAAAGGTGTGGCATGTTTTTCTCTTGTAAGCTCTGTCAAATTGGGGTTTACTCCCTCCATCAAATTCACATCATCTGGGAGAAGGAAAAGCCATGCAAAACAAACACTTTTTTTTACCTTGAAATTCCTCACCTGCAAAAGCTGAGATGGGTTCTGGAAGAAAAAAACAGAAAAAAAAAAAAAAAACAACCCAAATTAGATAAAGGGAAGAAGTAATTGAATAAGCATGGTGACAAAGATGGCCTCAGTTAGATCACAAGGTAATACTCTATAGAAAGTGATCCACGCCCTCCACGTGGTCTAGACTGTGTCTAATATATCATCACCATGGGGCTTGGGTGAGTGGAGAGGATTCTCAAAGTTGCTTTGGAACAAAAAAGTCCTTCACAGAGTAATGGGTCCCCAAGGCATTGTAATCAGTCACTTACCACTGATTACTTTCTCAGAGCCGGGATTACTTTTAGATGCCCAGGCCCTGAGAGTTGCCTGGGGGACTAGGGCAGTCCCAGTTGCTTCTGACATCACTGGGTTCACACATCCTAGACCCACAGGCTAAGAAAAGCACTTGATGACTAATTACAGTCACTCTGTAGACTGGAAGCGAGTCCTGTTCCTTCTCAGGATTCTCTTTCTGCTTTGGGGAACTCCCATGACTGTGACAGGAGGTGGTCAGGGTACCCTTGAGGAAACTCCTGACGCAGGGTGGGGCCTTAGATAAAAATGTGTACATCTTAGGAGGATTGGCTGCTTAGCACTTCTGACCAAAGTGACAGGGTATTAGCCCCATGCTGGTCCTCTGGATGCCATGCTTAATTCAACAACCCAGGCTCTTAGGCATTAGAAGTATTAGCTTTAAAACAAAATGTAACATCGTATTTCTTATGTCATAATTTTCCTTGCAGTTCCTTCCTGTGAAAGAGCTGCCTGGGTAATTGTGTTATCACTCTTATATAGCATGTGTACTATTTTTGCTCACTACTGAAGGTTTCCATTAACTCCATCAAACCTTTCCAGCATGTAATTCTGACTGGCAGTTACTCTTGTCCTCTAGCATTTTCTTTGCTGAAAACTGGAGTCTGATGATGGGGTCTTGGCATCCTGAATTTTCATATACTTAGTGCACATCTGTTTCTGATTAGGAGCATGGGTATAAGCCTTATCTCACCTTATACCCCTCTCACCCCAAATTCAGCCACATCACAACTACACTCACATTTCACCTCCTGCACAGACTGGCACAGCCCTACCTATGGGGAACACTGTGTCTGAAGCAGTCCATTGCTTCCTCTTGAATATCCTAGCTCCTGGCGTCTCATTTGAAAAGTCATGAAGACACAGGTAGTCACATACCCATGCAGTTCTCCAGTGGGACATCAGTGCTTAACCGAATGTCATCGATGGCAATCTCTCCTGATCGTCCTTTCCCTATGACTCCCTCGAACACGATCTAGAGCCAGAAGAACAAGAGCCATGGTTAACTGAGCTTCCTGGTACTAACAGTGCAAAGATTTTCAATTTTCTATGAACAGATTAGAGAGAGAGAGAGAGAGAGAGAGAGAGAGAGAGAGAGTTATTGCACCTGGCACACATCTGTGGACCATATGGCTACATCTCTTGAGATCTTAATTTTAAAGATTTGTTCAAATCAAGTACGTATTTGAGGGGCTAAAGGAAGTATAACAAGGTGATGGATATTGTTGTCCAGTAACTAGAATGTACTGATTAAAAGGACCACAATCAGAGCATATTTAAAGGGGGGGGGCTGAACTGTCTCTAGATATTTCTGAGGTTCCTGTCTCATCAATATCTTTCAAATGCCCAACCCAGGTATTTGAAAACTCAGAGGACATGAGCAGGTGAGGGTAGTGAAAGAAACATGGCACTTTGGTTTGGATTTGTCTTGTGGGTTACCTGTCCTTATGGCTGGCTGTTGCACATTGACTAAGGGATCCATTAACACAAGTAGCAGGCAAAGGGCACATTCTTCTACAGACAGTTTACTGAGCACCTACTATGTATTGGGCCCAAGGATAGGATAGTAACAAAACCTAGTAAGATAAGAACTCTACCCAGAGAAATTCACTTTCTAGTGAGTGAGACAAAATACCAACAAATTCTTATAATAACCTGCATTGAGGTTAATAAGTGGGAAACAGGGTTGGGGTAGAAGTGTCTCAGAATTCCTTGTGATTTCAAGAACAAGTGACTGCAGGATGCACACTGAAGCCCCTCTGCTCTGCGGCCTCCAATCATTCCTCATCTTGCTCTCCTCAGCTTCTCTCTGCAAACGAGCACATGTCCTCTGGCAAGCCGGGAGAGCAGTTGGCTGCCTTGCCAGCCATCTGTTGCTGCTCTTCGTCTGGGGAGGAGCAGGTTAATGCTTTGGCTGGTTCTCAGTCACCTCGTCCACAGTGTGTCTCCTTCTTACCAAGACGTGCTACAGCTGCATGTGCCTCCGTCTCTTGTTCCGTAGGACAGAGATAATAAACTTAATATCTGGAGCTGAGAACGTGAAGCCACTTGCTTCAGGCTCTCTAGGTCTGCAGTGTAATGCCTACCCCATCTACCTCTGTCTGCATTCACGCTCTCTGGAGCAGGTCTGGTCTGGGAGAGCATGCCCACCACTTCCTCCACTCTGAAGGCTCCTCTGACTTGTGTGTGGAGGGTTCGTTTGTGTTTATTTCCCTGGCTTCTATGTCTCTTTGTCAGCCTACCTGATAGCAATCTAAAATAAAATGGAGTGAAGAAACATTTGTCAGAGAAGATTTCAGCAATATAAAAGGCAATAGGAGGAACAAAGAACCAAGTCTGGGTGTAGAGATAGGCACATTCTGAATAACAAATAAGAGTGTCATTTAGTTGCCATGGCGACGTGAGAACCACAATGAAAACAGCGGAGCTTAACCACGTCCCCTAATGATGAATGGGCAGACTCTTTGAAACACTGAAATAGGGATCACAGTTCCCTTGGATTGCACATCTACCTCCCTTCCCTGCCTCACCTGATACTCCATGTCGTAGCTGGGCAGGATGATGCGCCCGTGTTTCCACTCATTGCCCTGGTCCTCACGGATGACCCAGAGGAGCTTGCTCTCTTGACTGGCTTCACGTACCACCTGCAGCGCCACCCCGCGGCCGCCTGTGGCTTGGTATTGGAACTCCATACACACGGGGCTTCGGGGCAGGTGCACTGGTGGGCTAATGAGTCGCCCATACTGGCCCTCTCTTTGGCCATCACTCTGCAGTCGCAGGAAGTTCTTGTCATCTGGGAGAGACAAGTCCAAACAGACGTTCTTGGTAAATACTTGGGAAAGACACCACTTGCAGCTGTGACTCCTCTAGCAGAAAGTTGGACTGGAGTTGGTTGGGCTGGTTTTGGTATTTTGAAACAGGGTCTCACTATATAGACCAGCCTGGCTTTGGACTCACGACCTTTCTGTCTCTGCCTCCTGAGTGCTGAGATTACAGGTGTATGCCACTCTGCTCTGCCCATGTGCATTTTTTTCTTGAGGCGCCTTGAGAGATGCAGTGTCCTCTAAAGCCCTTTCTTTAGTCTGTCACATTGGTCCCTCTCCTTGTTGTCTGGATCTCTTGCTTGTCTCTATACAGCCCCTGCCTATATCACTTGCATGTCCTATAAAGCCCCTGGCACAGCTGACCTGGTTGTATACCAGCTTGTTTTTTTCTCCCTAAATGTCTTATTCATCTCTGGCTTACCCTAAGGTTCAATAGAGTCAAATACACTGAATTACAAAGGAACAGGTTACTGGGGTGAGACGGTGGCTTTGTTGGAGGGTGACTCTGACCAGGTGGCTTATGCTTTGAGCCTTTGTTGTCTTGGCTGGGCACTGTCCAAATGGAAGACATTAAAAACCTTCTGCCTCTGCCAGAGCTGCTAGATGATGCCTGGGCCCCAGTAACTGTGACTTGGACACCCGTATCAACTTTAGGCAGAACAGGGAGTGGTGGCCTGACATTCCATTCCCTTCTGTGTGTGCCCCAGGGATGCCTGGACTTGGCCTTTCTCAAGCAGCCAGGGGCACACAGTTACAACGATAAAGATACAGTCATTATCATTAACAAAGGCTGTGTGTTTAGCAGAGAATGTACATGTTCTGGGAAATTAAAGGCTCACCCGTCCAAATGCTTCAAGAATGGCCTTTTTGGCAGATTGGTTTTTAAATCCATCTGATACTTATGTGGAAGACTGTGCTCTCATTACAGTTGGCAGACCAACTGAATTACAAGAGAACAGTTGTGGAGATGGGCACCTGCAGTTCCGGCCTATGTGCAGAGAGAGCGCACCGAGGAGATCTCATGATCTGCTTTGGACTTTGAGACACAGGGGCACGTTATGCTGAACTCTTTGGCAAGGGGGTAGGGACATGTTTTCACTACATAGTCAGCTTGGAATATGGGCAGGCCAGACATCTCAGGGTCTGTTAATATGATGCCATGTTAGTCTGAGATATGAGCACAGAGCTTTCTCGGTCAACAGGGATGGTGAACATCCTGGGTTTGTCAGGGAAGGATAGGCTAGCATTCTAGAGCCCTGAGTCAATGCCTGTCTCTTGGATCACCACTCTGTTGTTATAACTCTGCTGATGTCATCTTTCTAGGTGAGAGCTAAGCCTATGACAAACCTCCCACCAGTGGTCCAGAAACAACCTCTCCCTCAACTCCACAGTGACTTTGTTTACCTCCCTGGCTCTCTGACTTCCCTTCCTGTAATCAGATACTCTGGGGTTACTTCTTGAAGTCACTCCCCTGTACCAGAAGTCAAATTAGGCCAGTTTAGGATGCATATGGAGAAAGAAGAATTTAGTTTTGCTTCTCTCTCCACCCTCAGCCATGTGTGTCTGTGTGTCTGCATACCCTACAACATCTGACCTGACCTGTTCAAGGTCAAAATCAGCACAGATAATGAAGCGGCATCTTCCTCCAGAACAGAATTTTACTGATGGGGTCCCCTGAGGAGGCGGTGTTGATACCACAACTAGATACTCAATGATCTTCTAACCCTACACTTCCTCTATCAGATCCTATTACTACTTCTATTAATGACAAATCATTACAACTCATTTTTGCATAATGCTTTACCAGTTATGAAGCACAGAGGTATGCATTATTTCATTTCATCCTTGCTATATGCGTGTGAGCTAAGACTTACCAATTTTACTTTGCATATGATGAAGAAACCAAAGTTCAGAAAGATTTAAGTGACTTGTCCAAAGAGAAGAGGCTGGTTAATTGGCAGAGCCCAGACTTAACTGAGGGTCTTCCCACTTTCTACAATAAACTTTATTTCAGCTGCCAGCAGGTGTCTTGCCCAAATCCTTGCAATCAATCACTGCTGGGCCTGTCGCCTCTTTCCTCATCTTCCCTGCAAGTCCTTTCTCTTCTCCATCCAGCCCATCTCTTTTGCCAGTTCTTTTTTAGCCATTCTGGTACATATAACATTCACCCTGCCTCTTAACAACTCTAGTATTTGTTAACTGCATCACTGATTTTACCTGCCTTTAAAAGGATTTGAAGTCATTTTCCATGGTAATTACCTGACAGTCTAATGTAACTCGTTTGTGTCTTCCTTATCATCCTAGGTTTCTATCATCTCTCTATCATCTATCTATCTTCTATCATCTATTTGAGAGAGCAATAGAGAGAAAGAGACAGAGATGGAGAGAGAGAGAGAGAGAGAGAGAGAGAGAGAGAGAGAGAGAACACATGGAGGTTAGAAGACAACTTGCAGGAGTTGGAGCTCTCCTTCTACCCTGTGGGTGGTGGGGATTGAACTCAGGTCATCAGGCTTGGTGGCAAGTGCCTTTACCTGTTGAGCCATCTTGCTGGCTCCCATCTCAGATGGTAAGTTCTCGGTCTTGTACATGTAATATTTAATACTGCTTATTTCTCCCTTGTTTAGATAGTACCGTGTATATCACGCTACTTGGACATTTTGTTCCCTGAATGAATAAATGAATGAATGACAAACACAGAGAAAGAGTGCTATGAAACGAGGACCGAGGGAGACTCTGTCAAGCCTTCAGCTCCACCTACTCCCTTTGCCATTGACTCCATTTTCATGAGCCAGCAGACCCTTTCAGAGGTGAGGAAATCTAATAATCCAGGATGCCTTGTGGAGGCTCCCAGTTGACTGAGATGCCATCAAGGATCCTTCAATGTCTCTATACTCCCAGTAACTTCTGAGCCCTTACCATTCCACCTGGGCTATAAAAGAAAGCAGATTTTAGGGACTTTTTATTCAGCTTCACAGTTTCACAAATAAGACCCTCTTGCTGCCTGAAAATTGCTTGGCGGAAACTCTGTCACTTGTGTGAATTTGTATTCTTAAGCGTTGGGGAAATCACAGCAGAACTTGGGAAAGTCAAGTGTGTGTGTGTGTGTGTGTGTGTAATGGTGGGCTGGAAGGATTTTATCAGGGTCCATATGATCTCTCCATCCTCACTAGAACCTGAGGTACAATCAGGCCAAACGTTTCCTAGTTTGCGGGCCCAGGGAGCCTCCAGATCTCCCTCCCCTCATCTTTTGTCTCTCCTTTCTCCCTCCTCTCACAGTAGGCTGATAATCACTATGTATGATTTACAGGACCATGGCAAGACCGGGAGTTAATGCTAGTGGTGTGCTTAGCACGAGCAGCTGAAGGATCATAATTCAGCACTGACATCTGAGCTAATCCACGAGTTTGCAGAATCTCCAGACAAGCAGGCCTCTGGATTTCACTTAGTTAAATCATTTGTGCCCCACTTGTCTGTTAAGTGCTATGAGCTCCAGGGAAGAAAGATGATATGTAAATTTAAGGAATTAGCAGTTGCTGTCAGTCAGAGGGACACTGAGCTGCAAAACATCCCTGTCTGTCAGTGAGAGAGGCCTGATTAGAACCAGGGACACCATGAAGGAATGTCTCACACCAGGAGAAGCACAAGGAAAGGGAGGAAGAAAAGCAGAGGAAGAGGATGAGCAAACTGAGTGGTTACTACATGACAGATACAGCACGGGGGTCTGCAGCAGCTCTGCCTTCAACCATCGTCCTTGTACATGCTTGTGCAACCAGTAGCGGTTTGTATTCTCTCTGTCTCTCTGTCTCTCTCTGTCTGTCTCTCTCTCTGTCTCTTACACACATGCACACACATGCACACACACACACAAACACACACACACACACAGACACACACACATGCACAGAGCAGGGTCCTACTAGGTAGCCCAGGCTGGCCCTGAACTTGTGCTCTTCCTGCCTGCTCTTCTCAAATGCTTGCATCATAGGCAGATGCCCTCCACATCGAACTCACTTTCTACATTTTTATGAAAAAGGACACTGAGGCTCAGAGAAGTGAACTGCTACAGACTGACGAAAGTAGGATTTGAACCCAGATGGAACTGAGTCAGCTTGCCAGAGTATAGACTCTCCCTTGGGTGGCATTCTGGCCGGAAGCTCTCTAACCTTTAGAGGCTTTAGTCTGCCTATCTGTATAATGGGTACAATAATGGTATTACTGCCGAGGGTTGTAGGAATGAGCTCTGTAAAGCACTTTGTATAATAACAGGGATATAACAAGAGCTCAGTAGAGTTACTGATGCCACTACACACATTCCCACATAGGCCAAAGACCACTATTGACCTGGGGAAGCCAGTCCAAGATGCAAAAAAAAGTATGGTTTAGCCTTTAGACAGTGATAACATTCCCAGATCTGTTCTAACCCCAGAAACCAGCAGGCTGCAAGCTGTCCATCACGCACCATTCACCACATGTCTTTTGCGCCAATCTTCTGAAGATGAGATAAAATGTGACGTGGTTCTGGATCAAGACTGGAACCTCAGGCGACCACTCAAGCAGGCCAGCCCTGCCTCCCAGAGGAAGAATGCAGAAACATCCCGATGGCACGCCACCCACCCTTCCCTTTGGAAAAAGCCTCCACATTGGCAATGTGTTCTCCAGGCCACAACCCTAACTGTCAGGAACTTTTAAAATTCAGTTTTCAGCCTTCGTGCTGTCATTTAAACACGTTTCTTCCTTCTATCCCTGATAGAACACAGCCAGTTCCTGTCCTCTGACTTAGAAACATTTTCACTTGTAAAGAATTAAGACCTCCCGTTGGGCTGTGGAGATGGTTAAGTGGCTAAAGTGCTTCCAGAGCTAGCCTGATGACCTGAGTTCTGATACCCAGGACTGCGGTAACATGAGTCTATAAACCCAGTGCACCCCTCCAGGGAGATGGGAGATAGAGACAGGAGGATCATTGGAAACT